TCCTGCAACACTTTGATGTTGGGTAGAATGCGATAGATTTTTCTGAATACCAAAAGTTACTTCAAAAGAAAATGATCCTTCATGATTTACCTTTTTGAGCTCCAGATATATGGTTCTTAATCTTCTTTGCCACTTGGTCACTTTTCAAATGCATAACTACTCAGCATGGTTGCTCATTTCTCACAGCACTCTGAAGGTAGTGTCCATTCATTAATTCATGCATCCATCTAATCAGTCATACATTCTTTTCTCCAACACTGTGATCAAGAATCACTGGAGTGCACCTCTGTTGGGCAGCTGGCCCTTGAGAGATCAACCCTTCCTCTGCCTTAATACTTGAGCACTGTCACTCATTAGGTTCCTCACATCTCTGCAGGGGGCGATTCAAGAATAGTCTAAATTAATCAGCACTTATACTAGGTGGAAACATTTTTTAATTGTAATTATTATGCCTTTTAGGGATGTTGTAACTATATGTGTATATGAACTGTCAAAGTCATACATGCTCACTGTAAAACATTGTAACACTGCAGACTATGTGAAGCAGAACGTGAGAATCTCCTATAATTAGGAACCACCCTCTGACCTAAAACTGGAAGGCCATTGAGGATGCGTTCACTCTACGGGATGGATGGGGCGACATTCTATATAGTGTATTTTTATAGATGATGTTAATGTAAAATTGCATGAATCTTGTTCTGGATCTTAACTTTTTTCTATGCATAATTAAGTGTATTTAAAATGATTTAAAATAAATTATGAGTCATACCTCAGCCTTTCTTAACCAGTGAAATGAAATGTGATGTGTCAAAATTGAGTTAAATCCATAATTTCTGTGGATGTGCTTTTGACTTGCACATAACGAAAAGCAGGCAGGCAAAAGTAAGGCAGCCTCACACACCATATTGACATTCAACAAGGAGAAGGTCAGAGCAGGGAGTTGATGTCAATATGTTCTCCTAGTACTGCAATAAAGCTGTCCCAGCAACTGCAATCCCAGCTGCCATTTCTCCTCCTTTGGGTGAACAATGCACCCTGCAGACCCCCGACCACCTTGTTTTGAAAAATATCATGCTTTAACTGAGGAGGGCCTAATTGTTTCTCAGTAATATCCATACAACCAACATTTCAGGCTTCAAGGACAAAATTTCCACACCAGATAAGATTTTATTGACAAAAATACTAAGAAATGACAGCTGCCACACAAAATTTACCAAATAACTGCATGACAGGTATCATCATTCTGAGAATCATAAAGTGCCTGAAATTCTCTATTTTGTTTTCTGAGAATCATAAAGTGCCTGAAATTCTCTATTTTGTTTTCTGAGAATCATAAAGTGCCTCAAATTCTCTATTTTGTTTTCCAATATTTTCTGGAGATGTTCTTGGGGACATAGTTAGCAGCTTAAAATGTTGGGAAAATGTTTTTCTTCTACCCTTTTTGTTTGTTTTTTGGCCTATGAGAGAGTAATATAAGTTACAATCAAATTAGGTTAACACTTCACCATAATACAACACAGACATCGTTCAGTTCCATCAGGGAAACTTAGTATGGGTAGAATCCACATGCATAAATGTGTTCCCTTGGGTTAGAAAATTTCTTGACTTTGCATTTTGCAAGGAAATAGTAAAGTGAGGGTCTCCCTGGTGGTGCAGGGGTTAAAGACACTGCCCTATCAAGCTATCACCAGCCACTGTGGCTTCAGTTGAATCCCCAGGGAGCTGACCCATACCTTCCTGTGTATTTCAGTTGCAGTGTATTTCAGTTGATCTGCCTTTTCTACTCCCCACTCTTTCTCCAGTTTATTTTCTCACTCTCATAACAATGGCCTACACCCCCTACTTATTTGCATTAAAAAAAATCTAAAGAAAAGAGTAAAGTGAAGGGAAGCAGTGTTTCCTGAACACCTGTGTACTGGAGAGACCCTCCCCATGGTAAATAAGGTCATAACAAAAGCTCATGACTCATATTTCTCTTCCCAGCTGGTCACACCAAAGCCAGGTGATACATGAGCCCTTCTGAAGACAGGGAAGGACAGACAGAATCAGAAAGAGCTCACAATTACCTCAACTCCTACAAGGCCTAGACTGGCTTTAATTCTGCCAGACTCACCAAGTGTCAAATTAAAAAAAGTCAATTCTGAGAGAACTGAAAAATTTTTAAAAAAATGAAAAACTATTTCACAAGGAGTCAGTTCCTATCTACATTCAGTACAAGCCGATTTAAAATTTATATTGGCCTTCCATCCATTCCTGAGTGCTTTCACAGAGCAGCTGCCAGAGGCCATTAGCACACAGGCCTCACAAATGGAGATGCAGCAGTATTCTGATTCACTGGAGCCAGACTGCTTTTGCACTCACACAAATCACTCGGTGATTGACAAGCTTGCCTGCACTGTGAATTGTGGTTACTTCCCCTCAGAATAGAACCTAGAGAACAATCCCAACGGATCATGATAAAAGAAAGAGCAAGCTTTGATGTTGGGTGGGACATATAAACAAGATTGAGAATACGGTGGCTTAGTGTTGTCAGAATATGCTGCATTTTATTTAGGAAATGAGACAAAATCTTCCTCTGATCAGCCACTCCATGTGACATCCCAGCCCACACTCTGCTACTGACATTTATCTCCCACTGAACAGCCTGGCTGTTGTAACATTTTCAGGATTCTTAATTTATGTCTTGCTGGATTTAAAATCAGATGGCAGGAACTTTAAGGAAATAACTAGTGTTGACAGGAACCTTTGTACTTCCCGTAGCTGGTACACCTTAGTGTTACTAAAAGTTGGTGAATGCTTTCTATCTTCTTCCAAAATATGGCTAGGAGTCTGAGATGGAGACAGGAAACAGTCCTAAATCATTTAATTCCTCTTATCAATCTAAATTCTGTGAAAGATCTTTCCTTTCACCCAGTATTTGGTAGCAAGTTTGTTGCCCCTTTTTGGTATGTGTTTCCATCTTTTGGTAAATTAATTAAAATTTAATTAGAGTAACCAAGAGAAAGTAACTGAGATTCTTATATCCCTGTATAGTCCTATAGCCAAGAGCTATGGGAAAGTAAAATGACTCAGAGGTAAGATCAGCAACTTAATATTTGTGTAAGCTTTATATCTAAGCTCTTGGCTATGAGAAGTCAATGAGGAAAGAGATTGTGATGATTCCTACTTTAGAGAAAAGCAAGGCTCAGAAAATGGAAATGACTAGTTCCAAATCACTCAACTTTAAAGAAATTGGGACTCAAACACAAATTACTTGTTTCTTTTATATCACAATGTTACTTTGTAAAAGCAGTGACTTTGGTTATAGCTCATCATATGAATATGTGAAAAGCTCTGTTCTTCAGAGTGTTGGCGGTCCTGGACTTGGGCTTACACCTGCCAAAGCCAGATTGCCAGTGTACACTGAAATTCTGGAGTGCTGGGTTTTCATTTCTTCTTTGTCAGTATGGGTTTATATTTATACTGTAGTGCTTAGGAGTACAAACTCCTGAGCCAAGCATTAGCTCTGTCACTATTAGCTGAGCTGGGCAAGTTACCTAATATTTCTGGACCTTATTTTCCTGTAGTGCAAGATGGAGATGATAAATGCACCTCCTCAGAGATTTGTTGTAAAGATGAAATGAGTTTATTTATAGAAAATGCTATATACAGGTTAGTTTGTATTGCCCATTAGTTCACCACATGCTTCATAAATATACTATAACAATTTTGTGAACAATCTTTGGCTAGATGATAAAGCTAAGAAAACTCTTATCTTGGCCCTCCCTGGTGGCGCAGCGGGTTAAAGCACTGCACTGAAAAGCTAAAGCCACTTCTGCATGAGTTCGATTCCCGCCTGCCTCGGAGGAGACCACATGGTGTGGCAGACCTCTCCTGACCCGCCAGCTGCTCCCCTCAGCAGTGTACTTCGTCGATCTGCCTGTTCTGCTCCCCACTCTGTCTCTGGTGAATCCTCTCACCCTCCGCATCTCTGGCCTGTACCCCAGTTCTATATGAATAAATAAATAAATCTAAATAAAAAAAAAAAAAAGAAAACTCTTATCTCTAAAAGTCAGAAACTAGTATACTCCTTTTATTAAGTAGCTTGCACAGAGTAGAAGCTTTAAAATCACCATTAAATTGAATAAAAAGTAATATTACCAGAATCGAAAGTGGTAGTCGCGGATCTTTCAAGCTCAAGGTTCATATTTTTCAAGTGTTTCTAATATACCTGCTGTCCACTCCCTAACTCATTTATCTGAAAGGGCAGAGACCAGCAAAAGGATGAGTAACACTTCCTATATAGTTTCCGTGAGTGTTCTGTGAAACTGCAAAATTTTCATCCCCGTGCCTTAAATTTAGGTCACAATGCATTTCTTTTGCAGACAGCTCAGGGGTTCTTTTAAAATTATTGTGGCAAAATATCTCATACCCCTGGGTATTAGCGAACCTCAGCAAGAGATTCCGAATTTTCTCTCATTGCTAGGCTGCCCGGAAGCTCGGTCGATGGGACATAGTCGGGTTCACTGAATTTGAACGGAGCGATCCACAAGGTGACCCACGATAAGGAAGGAAAGAATAAGGCTACGAGCAAGTTTGGAACAGCACCCTTGTTAACGCAACTACTCAGCGGCGACCTTGCAGCTTCGACTCCGCCCACCTGTAAGGAGCGTTCTCCCTGGCCCCGCCCCCCGCGCTAGGTCCCGCCCACAACCTACTCCATTGGCCGGGTAGCCTTAGCCCCGGGCTGGTCCGCAAGGCGCATGCGCATTTTGTAAGCCGTCTTGATATTGCCTAAATCTAAATATGGGGAAAGATGGCACTTAGGCTTTCCTACCTAGCCACATCTGCAGCTTTATGCTCGTATGGAGGTGGTTTTATCTTTTTCAATTATGAGGACCCGACTTTTAGCCTATTGGAGCTTAAGAGGGCATATTTTAAGTTAGGCAATATTCAGACAGCCCGATCCTGCAGCGAGGTCCTTAGGCTGAGCTTGGGGCCATAGCCAGGAAGGCGGGGTCCTTCTCTCGGGGCGGTCGCGCAGGCAGCGGCTGCGGCTGGCTGGACACCCGGCGTCATGTACTACAAGTTTAGTGGCTTCACGCAGAAACTGGCGGGAGCATGGGCTTCGGACGCCTATAGCCCACAGGTATGGGTAGTGTCACGCCAGCTCCGATAGGAGCAGTGCGGCTCAAACCTCTCCACTCTGCAATTGAGGCGCTGTTAACAGGACCAGGTTGATGCCAGCGGTTCGGTTTGGTTCAGCACGCATTTCCCTGCGCCCCTACACCGATTTGCTGCGGCCAAAGAAACATCCAGTTCTGTAGCTGCTGTCGCGGCGGGGCTGTGCTGGCGCGAAAGTGGGGTCTGGCGTTCAGCAGGGGTGAAGGTGACCCTCAGGCTTGTTGCCTGTGAGTGAATGGGTTGACTCGTGGGGTCCGCAGCACCCAGAAGAATGTCACCCGGCCGAGTCCAAAGTTAAGCCCTGCTGGAAACATGGTTTCGGTCTCAGTACCCCAATTGTCCCCCTCCCGCCCCCTCTCTCCCCATACGCACATCCATCATGCAGTCCCAAAGGTTGCCTTGTCCAGGTACGATTTAGAGAGTTGGAATGACTCCATAGAGGAAGATCCTAGGGGGTAGAAGGGATTTGTAGGTTACTTAAAATTCCAAGTGAGCTTGGGCAGGTAAATGCACGGAGCTTTCGCTTTCCCTTTGTTAACGAATGCCCATTTTTGAAAAAACTTTCGAACTCATCTCACCAATTTAGTGTTTCAATTCCCATCTGTGATGTAGAGATGAAGTTTACATCCCTCCATTTAATTTGGTCTCAAGATCCTGGTTTTGCTACTTTCGTTTAGGTCCTTGACTAGGTAAATAGGTTGTGAGTTGGGTTTCACCTGGGGAAGTTTCAGTCCATGTTAAATGAGGTGTTTGTCAGGTGACAAACAGTATTAAGCAGATATTTGGTACCGGGTTAAGTAACCTTGCCCCAGAAACTAAGCGCAAGACCTTGTCATATTCCTGTTCTCACAGTAGTTTGGGAAGGTTTGAAGTATGCAGTTGGAGAACTGGACTTGAATGTATAGGCCCCAGTAAGTTGTATGTTATTTTTCCTGTGGGACACTGTAACTTGCCTAAGGGAAAGAATTTCATCCTAAGGTTAGATATGCTACTAAGTAGGATGGGAAGGGAGTGGGTGTGGTATTGTGGAGGAAGGGTTAAGGTTTATACATGTTGAATTTGTAGTGACCTGTCCTATCTGGTAGCATTTGGATTTTCATTGTCAAGTTTAATAAATCTGGGTGTCTTCAGTCCATAGCAGGTGGGAGAATCTGGGGTGGAAACATTACCCAGGGAGTCTGTAGGGCAGAAAAGGTGAGAGTATAATTAGACTACAGAAACCTTAAGGGATGGTGGAGGAAATTTATCAAACAATTCAGAATTAGGAGAATCATCATTATTGAAACCAAGATGACAGTGAGGTTTAAAGGACGGATTGGCGGCTGTAATCTTGTATAGGCTATAGGAAAGTAGCTATTTCTATCATATCTACGCTACCAAAAAGAAAATAAATCTTTCAGTGAACAGATTTTAAACGCTGCATTTGACAAAAGCATGAACTTTGTAAACCATACTCCTGTTAACATACAGAACCTTACATCACTCCTAGGGAGTTCCCTCTCACTCTTACCCTATCAGTCCCTGTCCACCTTTCTGTTCTGACATTACTATAAATAGTTTTTGCCTATTTTTACATTTCAGATAAAAGGAACTGCATGGTACTTACTGTTGTGTAAGGCTTTTTCTTTGAGGTTCATTCATAATACATGCATTTGTTCTTTTGTTGCTGTGTAGGATTACACTGTATGAACATATCTAAGTTGATCTAGTCTGTTGGTGATTGTAGATGTTCTCTTGAGTTTTAGCGTAATCTAGGTTTGTAATCTAATATGGAAAAAGTAAGGTTTTATACTAAAGGTGACATTGAAATTAAATTGGCACTAAGAACAGAAATTACTCTGAGATGCATTTAGTATGGATAGAACTTTCAGATTTTTACCACAGCTTGAACTGTGCTTCTCTTGAGAATTTGAACTTGTTACTTAAGGATATCTTATGTTGAAGGAAGTAATATTGTGTAGGCTTTATATGAATTGTAGATTTTGAGAATGATTGTGACAGGCACTCTCCAAGCCAGGTGTTCTGACTTTGGTAATTAGGAGTACTTCAGTTTTTCCTTTCTTGGAAGCATTAGCACACTGTAAAATGTAAATGCTTGTAAAGTGCAGTGTTATATAAAGAGAATAACCTAATATGCATTGAATAACCTAACATGGAAAAGTTAGTTCTCTAACAATAGTACCCGTAGGGATTTATAAATGTATTTAATGGCAAGCAAATGTAGTGAAGGTATTTTTCAGTGGTTGGTTGAAAAGCATTTTCCTTGCCTTTCTGTGCCCTGGTTCAAAAATACAGTGAGGCCTAGCAGGAGCATAAAGGACCAGGGGGAAAATAAAAATAATAATGAACAACTATATACCAGAGACATTTTACGGGGGTGGTGTGGGGAATGGGATCAAAGATGGGCAGGTGGGGTGTGGGGGGGGGGGTTAGTGCACAGGACTGTGCCCAGGGGGATTACAACTGAGATGGAAAAAGGCACAAAATAATGTAAAAATAAGCTGTTATAATAAAAAAATACAGATGAAAAGATATTATCAGTCATTAGGGAAATGCAAATCAAAAGCACAATGAGATACTGAAACAGCTATAGGATAATGCAGCATCATAGAGGACAGATCACCTGTGGGCTTTTCACCCTTCTGCAAAAGTACAAGACCTTTCCGGCTCAGGGAACAAGAATGGGGTTTATTTAACAGACTGGGGTAACAGAATCTAAGGCCACAAGTGCCTGGCTATCTCACCACAGATAGTGTCCACAATGTCCAGGAGTTCCAAATGAGAGGTGGCTCATCCAAAATGGCACTTTCCAATCAGAGAGGACTTGGACACTGACAAGCAGTGGGCCAGGTTCCAACTCAGCACAACTAGAGGTGCTCACAGGCGGGGATGATGAGATAACCCGCAGCAACGGTCTGAAAGTCAGGATGAACAGGACCAGTCCGCAGTGGAGGCTGCAGCACCGGGAGGTAGTACCTGATCACCAGGATCGGTTAACAGCTTTCAGAGGTGACTGGGACACTGTGCCGGTCCCTTGTTAATGGAGCTGGGTTGGACTGGCCAGTAGTCACTGGGCACAATATCCAGTCATTAGAAGGTAGTGTAAGACATACCAGCATTAAACAGCTCTTCACGAATTGTTGGCCCACATCACTAACAGCTCTTTGAGACCCCAGGCCCATAGCCTTTGGTGCTCCTTTTTAGGGTGCTCCCTTTGTAGGGCCAGAAGTCAGTGGCCCACGCCTCTGCAAAGCTCTTCAGCTTCGGAAGTCAGATGCTGGATGCTGCTGCTTTTTTCTTTATTCTTCCTTCCTTGGAGATCAGGGAACAATGAGTCCCAAGCTGGCTGCTGCATTGAGTTATATCCTCCTTTGGGTGCCCCACCCACAAGTCTGATTGAATCATCTTCAGTCCTGTGGCAGTTGAGATCATTTAGAACTAATCAGCTCATAGCTCATACCTGACCCATTCGTTCTGCCATCTGCACCTGATGGCCCTGGTTTCGACACCATTTCATATCTGTTAAATTCAAAGGCAAACACCATGTGTTAGTAGCAAATCTGGAAACCTGCAACTCCACTAAATTACTGGTAGGGTTGTAAAATGGTGCTGCCACTTGGGAAAACAGCTTGGTAGTTTCTTAAAAAGTTAGATGTAATTTTAGCATATGACCTAGTAATTCCTTTCCTAGTTGAGATGGCAGAATGATATAAAGAGAACTGTGAAAATGAAGGAGAGAGCATGTGTGAGTTTGGTTGTGGGTGGACGTAAATCCTGAAGTGCATAGGATGGTTGGACAGTTGGCCTTAATTTTGTGAGAAATGAGTAGTATCAGGCAACTTGATGTGGAAAGTTGTGGTAGTTTTATCCAGAGGTGAAACAAAGAAATGCTGATTAGAATTCAGCTAGTAAATGTGTCTGTGACTGAGTGACTCCTTTTGTGTTTGTATGTGGAGCTGCGCTCGTAATTGTAGAGGTAGTGATTGTGTAAACAGCTAAGCGATTCACTGTTAAAAGGGAAAACCTGTGACTTCTACATAGTCTATTTTAACAATAGCTTTCAGCTATTGTTGCTGTGGGAGGTGTGGGAGAATTTACCATCAAATGCTGATTTACGTGACTTTGGTTCTGAAGTTTCAGTTCTAACTATACTGAAGCTATAACCTTTCATAGATTTATACAGTTAAACAAATATTTACCGAATGTACACTCTGTGCCAGTCACTTTTCTTGGGAAATAACAACAGTGAGCTGAGGGCCAAATCCTGCCCTCATGAACCTTCCATTACAGTAGGGGGAGACACAGTACCAAAGCAGAATAAAGTATCTTAGATAGTAGTAAGTGCTGTGGAGAAAAATAAAGCAAGAAAGGATTAGGTAAGGGGGTAGTAAGGTTAGGTTTCACTGAAAAGGTAACAAAGGGGGTAGTAAGGTTAGGTTTCACTGAAAAGGTAACATGGGCTAAGTCTCAAAGGAGTTTGAAGGTGCAAGCCAAATATGAAGAACTATCTAGATAGAGAGAACACACCGGGATAACTTGGAGGTTTAGAGGTCTAGTACAGTCAACTGGAGAAGAGAAAGGTGAGATTTAAGGTGAAATGTTGAGGGATACATCGTGTGGGGCCCCAGAAGCCACTGCAAGGACTATTGAGGTACTTTCAGTAAGGTGGGATGCCTTCATGAGTTGTGAGCTGAGTAGTGACATCTGTTTTTACAAAATCATTGGTTACTGAATTAATAGTAGAGTGCTGGAAATGAAAGCAGGGTGACAAGTTAGGAGGTCATTGTGAAAATTCAGGGGTTTGGGCCAGCGTCTAGTTTGGTGGAGATAGGTGAGAAGCAGTCAGATTCTGCATACATTTTGAAGATAGAGCTGAAAGGACTTGCACTGTGACAAGAATTATTAAGAATAATTTAAGGTTTTGGAGTATTGGAAAGATAACATTACTATTTTTGAGATGGGGAGAGAGGTGTTTGAGATTTCAGGTTGGAGATGCCGTCAGCGTTAGAAGAGAAGGTGAAGTAAATACAACTTCCTGGACAAGTCCATGCTTGCAAGCTCTGGGGCTCCAGAACCCAGTGCTGGTCCTGGTCAGCTCTTGAAACATTGGAAACATTGCTCTCAAGTTGTGCTGCAGCTTAATGGTAGGTAGGTGCAGTTCCCACACTTTATCTATTTTACCTGTGTGGCTAACTCAGCTGACCTACTGATTTATGGTGTAATAAATGGGTTTGAATTCCATCTTCCTTGTGGCATCGCTGAGTTGTTTTAAATATTTGTAACACGGACTGATCATACTATCTGTAGTGATATGAAAGGTAAATTTAGTTGTGAAAATTGTGTAAGTAGCTGAACAAAATGCTAATTAATAAATGAGACAAGCAGAATGTAGGATTTTACACACTCACTATAAAGAAACTGAAACATACCCATGAAAATACATTGGAGAATATACCATTATTAAAGCTGATGGGGTAAGGCAATGGATTTTAGGTAGCTTTAAAGTTTGATATTCTTATATTATAAATGGAAATACAGAATTATTTGAGATTGTTAAGGTGTTGATACGCCTGTTTCCAGTTGATATTGTCCAAAAACTGCTGTAGTTGTGAACATTTGGTGGATGAACAAATATAAAGCACTTAGGTGTAATCGCATCTAAAAATGCTGTTACATTAATTCTGGCAAAACATGAATTTAATTTTAGACCACTTTTGTGAAATGCTTGATAAGATGGCTTTAAAATTTTTTTCCGTTCAAGGGAAAATGATCACTAGGAGAAAATACAGAAAGCTCACAGAATAAAAGGTTATCTAAAATCCTCCAGTTCAAAGAGATCTTTTTACCTTGTTTTTTCTTTTTGTTAAGATTTATTTATTTATGCATACAGAACTGGGGCACAAGCCAGAGGTGCAGGGACGGTGAGAGGCTTCACCAGAGACAGAGTGGGGAGCAGAAAAGGCAGGTCGACGAAGTACACTGCTGAGGGGAGCAGCGGGCAGGACAGGAGACGTCTGCTGCGCCACTTCCACGGTGGGGATCGAACTCGCACTGAGGTGGCTGTAGCCAGCTTGCAGTGCTGCATCCTTACCTGTCCTTACCCATTGTGCCACTAGGAAGGGCCCCTGTTTGCCTTGTTATCTCAGTAAAGGCCCCTGTTCCCTTTTCTGATTCCTGGGTATCTAAGAACTAAATGTAGATTAACTGCTTACTCATCAAACTTTCTCTTTAAAGGATTGTTGCTTTTGAGCAATAGTTGAGGGGCAGTAGCTAGGGTCGGTAGTGGAATACTTAAAAGCCAACGATAGGCTTGAATTTGAAATTTGATTTTGCCTCTGATTGATTTTCCTCCTCTGTAAAGGGAAAATATTAACATCTCCCTGGGGGTGCATTCAGGATTAAATGAGATAAAATATTTAATATGATGTTGGCCACATAACAAGGGCTTGGTAGATATTAGCTACTGTTATTCCATAATACTAATATCCATAATGGCAGAGATTTTATCTTATTCATTGTTCAATAAAGTGCTTAGTAATATATATTGAAAGAATGAATGTAGTACAGAAAAAAGGCAGTGATTCATTCCTATTTATGGACTGTGTTAGAAGAAATAGAAGCCAAGTTTAATAACTTTTTGTTGCCCTTTGATTCTAAGGCCTGCCTGTGGGAGGAATGTTATTTTCAGTATTCAATTCTGTATTCACTATTCTGTTTTTAACATTATAGGTATGTTTAGATTTCTTAGATCAGGAACCAAAGGTCTGATGACTATATCAAATTGGGCAAAAGTTTCCTTTTCATCTATAAAACGGCAGAGTCCAGGCTTGAACTCTGCTTTATTCTAGTTAGAATTTAATAAAAAAAAATGTTACTTGGTTGGTCTGTAACTCTTAGCTCCTTATGCGGGTTATTTTGGTGAACTACTAGATTAACTTTATCAGGTAGAAAACCAGAGTTCCCCTTAGGTTCCTTTTTACTTTAGATTTTTAATTTTTTTCTAAGTGTAATTGACATCTGACAGTAGTTTCAGGTATACTGCACAGTGATTTGGTATTTGTACACATTGTGAAATGATCACACTAGTTAATGTCTAATCACTATAAATGGCAACAAAAATTCCTTCTTGTGATGAGCAAATTTAAGATTTACTTTCTTAGAAATTTTTAAATGCCGTTTTATTAACTAGTCAGTTTGTTGTACATCCGCATGACTTATTACTGAAAGTTTGTAGTTTTTGATCCCTTTTATCCATTTTTTTCACTTGTGCCCTCAGATTTGAGGCAACCACCAGTTCTCAGTATTTGTGAGCTTCTTTGTGTGTGTGTGTGGCGGGGGGGGGGTGGTTTGTGACTGGCCTCTTATACTCAGTGTAATGTTTTCAAGGTACTCTGTTTTTCTCCCCTTACCAGGTCCTTTTTATAAGCCTGCATTTGTCCTTTTTTTAACCCATGTACAAATAGCAAACCTATGTTAACTCCCAAATATATATTGAGTACCTGCTATTTTGGGGCATTCAGTAAGTACCATACAGTCTGTTCAGTAGTAGCTACTATAACTATTATACATGTGGTACAGACGAGAACACTGGTATTTCTCTTTACTATTTTTGGTCTGTGTTGTGGGGTTCTTTTTTATTTTTTGAGGTAAAGTTGATTTACATAATTTCATTTGTTTATATGCTAAAACCTGTACAGACAAGTGTGTTCACTCTATACCCACCATCAAAGACCCACTATGCTCCCCTGGGCCCCTCCCTCCTCTGCTACCAACTTCTGGTTGCCTCAGTTTTGCAGCTAGATGTCAAGGGTTTGTTTTGTTTTGTTCTTCTATATTCCACATGTAACTAAAACCATCTAGTATTTGTCTTTCTCCTGACTTTTACTTAGGATTTCTGTGTCTTTTAACTTAATGGGATTATTAGTGAAGTCTATTTTAGGGTTGGAGATTCCATATTTGTGCATAACTTCACCCAAAGGAAGGGGAACAGCCATTAAATCTTTGAAAATCTAATTGAAAGTTCATACAGGCTATAAATGTTTAACTGGTTTGATAAAAAGGCACATCAGGGAGTAAAACGATAGGCACATTGGGTATTTCTAGATGCTTAGGTTGGACTTTTGTTGCTGCTTCTCCCTTTGCAGCCTCCTTCATCTTAATAGCAGGGAGTTGTTACTGACAGTTTGCTCTGGGAAAAGCTGTTGAAAGTTTAAGAATTTTAACCTCAAAGGTAAAGTGAAATGCTTTGCAATGCAAGAGACTTTCCTTCCCTCTCATGTGGTTGAATAGAACTGCTGCTTCTACTCCAGTCAGTCTGCGCCTTGAAAGTTTGTTCAGATGCCCGGAAATGCTTTCAGTTTCATATTTTCCTTTTTCCTACAGGGATTAAGGCCTGTGGTTTCCAGAGAAGCACCGCCAATCATATTTGCCACGCCAACCAAACTGACTTCTGATATTACTGCATATGATTATGCTGGGAAAAACAAAGTCCCGGAGCTGCAAAAGTTTTTCCAGGTGAGAGAAGATGCTCTAGAACAGAGAAATCTGTGTAACAGATAGGCTTTAAAAAATCCTGTGAAACTGAGCCTTAATCTAGTTTACTGCCCATTTTTTTTAAAAGATTTATTTATGTATGCATATAGAACTGGGGTACAGGCCAGAGGTGCAGGGGCAGAGAGAGGATTCACCAGAGGCAGAGTGGGGAGCAGAACAGGCAGATTGAAAAAGTAGACTGCTGAGGGGAGCAGCGGGCGAGACAGGAGAGGTCTGCTGCATCATGTAAGTCACCTGCAGCCAGGGATCAAACTGCAGCTAGCTTCACAGTGCTGCATTTAGACCCGTTGCACCACCAGGGAGGGCCCTTATTACCCATTTTTCCTCTCTTTCTATAAATAGAATTCTATTGATTTTAGTTTGAGCCATAAGTTAGTAGAATTGTTATATAGTAGAAACTGATAAGAGGTTAGGGTTATTAATAATTTCCTCATCAGTATTTAAAGATATGTGGGTTTTCAAATTACATATATAGTTGTTGATTATCCCTTGGAAGGAGGATGCACTACTAGCATGCATAATAACACTGAATATTCCAGTATATATTTAATTTTGTGACACATACAATGACTTTTGGCAGAAATTTTTGTTCTTCAATTTTTTTTAAGATTTATTTATTTATGCATATAAGAACTGGGGTACAGGCCAGAGGTGCGGGGGTGAGAGGATTCACAGAGACAGAGTGGGGAGCAGAACAGGCAGATCAACTGAAATACACAGCTGAGGGGAGTAGTGGGCGAGATAGGAGATGAGAGGTCTGCTTTGCCACGTGGGTCAGCTCCCTATCTAGGGATCAAAATCTTGCTGCAGTGGCTGCAGATGACTTCATAGTGCTGTACTTTAACCCCTTGTGCCACCAGGAGGCCATCTTCTACTTTTTTTTGATTATAAAATTCACCGAACTGTTAATAGAACTAGAGGAGGTTTGGGTTTGCTGATAAACAGAGAGAAGCCAGAATTGGATCTTAAAATATTAACATTAAATTCTGTATAGATAATTGAGAGGTCTTTGACTTGATTACATCCATACGGGAGCAGCAACACTCATTACTGCTGTTGCTCCCTGAAATAATGTTCTGATATAGTACCAATATGGAAACTTTTGATCAATTCTGTCCCCTTTTATCTGAAAAGTAAAACCTGAGCAGGCATTTCTGGGTTTTGAATTGCTGTAGGAAGGGAATTTAGAGACTGGAAGATAATGGGTTAAATATATTATGGAATCTCATTAAGTGTGAATTTAAAAGGCTTAACAGAAGGAAGTCATTTGAATACAAAATGGACTTACACATGTTAATTGACCTGGTGTGCCTAGACTTCACCCACTAATGAACACAAGTCAGACTAAATGGAGAACAGTTCTTGTGCCTGTAGTTTTTTGTTTACCTTCTTAAAAATATTTTCACTAGTGTTAAAAGACGCTTAACAGAAAGCCAAAACATTTGTTTTGCAAGCCTTTTTTTTGCCTTCCGAGGTTTAGAGCCCTTTTGCCTTCCGGGGTTTAGAGCCTGTCGACTTAAGACAAACGTTTAGAGCCAGTCCACTTAAGACAAATGTTTAACACCCCTACCAAGAATGTGCTTATCAGTACCTGGAGTCAGGAGTGTGTGTGGGGGGGTCTTCATAGGAAACACAGAGGGAGCATTCCTGGGGGGGGGGAAGGGCATTGTAAAATGTATAAAAACTACTGCCTGTGAACAATCTGGTCTCTCAGTCTTGAGTACTGCTGAGCCCCGCCATGTCGGTTTCTGAATAAACCTGCCTCTGCTGTATTTTAGTGTCTTTCTCGACCTTTCTGCGTTTCCTCGGGGATCGGAATTCTGGACTCAACACTAGTGCTCCTTTCCTCGTTAAGCAGTATGTTAAAAAATCCTTAGAAATTTGGGATTTGGCCTCCCTGGTGGCGCAGTGGTTGAAGCACAGCACTGCAAGCAAGCCACAGCGCTTTAGTGGGAGTTTGATCGCCCAGGAGGTGGTCCACACGGTGCAGCAGACCTCTCACCTGCCCGCTGCTCCCCTCGCACTGTACTCTTGTCAGTTGGCCTGTTCTGCACCCCACTCTGTCTCTGGTGAATCCTCTCACCCTCCGCATCTCTGGCCTGTAGCCCAGTTCTGTACGAATAAATAAATAAATCTTTTTTTTTTTTTTTTTTAAAGAAATTTGGATTTGTTGTATGCACGATTTGGAGGCTGCATTTTGGAAAATGACTTTGGAACTATAAGCCTTAGCGCATTTATACGAAAATGTCATTATTTCTGTTAGCATTCTACTGAATCAGGGCTCTTCTCACTCCTGTGTGTTGATAAAGTTATAAAGTGGAGACTTTGTGCTTTGTTAGCCTATTGATTATAAAATGTTTTTTTAACAATTTTGCCCTTAATAATTCTTGCTTTCTAGAGATCTGATGGTGTGCCTATCCACCTGAAACGAGGCTTGCCTGACCAAATGCTTTACCGGACCACCATGGCGCTGACGGTGGGAGGGACCATCTACTGCCTTATTGCCCTCTACATGGCTTCACAACCCAGAAACAAATGAGTCAGCTGCATAGGACTGGTTTGCTTTTTGGCATAAACCCTTTGAATTTTCATTGTTTCTGTATTTTTTTTTTTTTTACTTGAATGGCCTGCTTAACATTTTACAAGAAACAGATATTAAGACAATATTTTGGCTTGTTTATGAAATTCACATGGCCTTTCAGAGCTCATTCGACAGTTAAAACTTGTTTAAAGAATGCTGCTGCTCTCCTTGTCTGGGCTCCTGATTTCCCTGGCGGTGTTGGATGAAGGCTGTACTCATTAACAACAGTGTGTGCTGAGGTCCTTGGGGACTTACGTTGTTGAGCATGGGGTGCAGAAGTCTTTCTGGATTTGGATGTGACTGAGGAAGGAAGACAGAAGTCAAGACCAGGTGCATGAAAATTAGGGATTTAAGTTAGAGGTCGCCTTGGGGATTTTGCAACCATGTAGTAAAATGTTAATAGAAATTATTTGCAGCCTGCTTCTATTCTTTGGGCAGTTAGTTTCAAAGGGTTTTTGCCTCCTTTTAGATCGTGATTGATAATTTATGTATAATTGTTATGTATTTATTCCACCATGGGAACAGAGAACACCTGTTTAGTGTTGCACTTTAGACTGATGTCTCTTTCATTAATGCAGCTGTGACAAATCCTCCTTTACCTTTTAAAAATGTGGCTTTAAGTTATGATTAATTTTGATTGTGGAATAAATACATGAATGAAAAATCTCAAGTTTGAAGTCCTTTTAAATGACCTTTTAAAGTAATTTCTGAATACCAGAGACCTCTTAAACCTGATTCTAATTTGTTTTTAATTAGGCACCAGATAATCTTCACAAAATGGTTCCTTAAAAATCAAATAATAGGAAGCTAATGGCACATTGATGGTTACCATATGGTTCCTTATAAGAAACCTTTTGTCCCCTTATGAAATGTGCCTGTAACACACTGTTCTTTTGTACATTAATTTCCTGTACTATAACAATTAGTAGACTTCACATACCCTTTATTTTGAAATAGCTGAAAAAAGGCAGAGTTTTATGATACATAATCGGGTGGTCTGTATCTTGCAATAGCAAGGAAGGTGACCTCTTAACTGGGGATAAAACAGTTTTTGATAATAGGGGCATTCTCACAGGTTAGGAAGCGCTAATTTGTACAGGTGTAAACATTTCTAAATTTGTTTTGAAAAGTCAAGACTATAAAAAGATGATAAGAACAGTATAATACACACTGTACATCCTTTCTTAGATGACCAGTTATTGCCAACTTTGCTTTTTCTCACAAACAGGCACACATGAATGTACATATGTGTATATTGGGGCTTTGCTGAGCTATCTAAGGTTAAGCAATGCAGTGACGGTAATTCAGCCATGAATACTTGAGCCAGTATCTTCTATGAATATTTTCTTTCATGACAAAGATCTAGCCTTCACAATGATGACAATATAACTCCCTAACATGTGACAGTTGACCCTTGAACAACATGGGCTTGGACTGCCAGGGTCTGATTATGCATAAGTGAACTTTTTTCCAAATTGCTTTTCCTAAGAATATTGAAAAAAATTAAAAAGCATGTCATGAATATATAAAATGTATGTAGATGATTTTCTATTTTGTCATTTATGTACTTTGGTTTTTTCCTTATGATTTTGTTTACTCTAGCTTACTTTTATATTGTAAGGAAACAGTGTATCATGCATATAATAAGTGAACCATGTGTTAATATGTTATTGGTGAGGATTCTGGGCAACAGTAGGCTGTTAAGTTTGGAGGAGTCAGAAGTTATTTATGAGGGGTGGGGATTGGTGCCCCTAACCCTTATGTTCAAGAGAAAACTAGTCTATTTAAATTTTCTCAGGTATCCCGATAATAGGCCCTTTATTGTTTTTTTTTTCCATATTTATTTGTGCATATAGAACAGGGGTATAGGCCAGAGGTGCAGGGGCGTTGAGAGGATTCACCAGAGACAGAGTGGGGTGCAGAACAGGCAGATCAACAAAGTACACTGCTGAGGGGAGCAGCGGGTGGGTCAGGAGAGGTCTGCCACGCCATGTGTCATCTCGGGCAGGCGGAGATCGAACTCATGCGGAAGTGGCTTTCTATTCTTAGTGCTGTGCTTTAACCTGCTGTGCCACCAGGGAGAGCCCGTTTTTTTTTTTTTTTTTTTTTTAAATAACAGCTTGTTAGGAAATAACTCAAAAACCACATATTCACTTGAAGTACATTGAAGTACAATTTACTGACTTTTATTCAGAGTTGTGTAACTCTGATTGACGGCCACAATCAATTTAGAAATATTTTCTTTGCCCTAAGAGGATATCCTATGCCCGTTAGCAGTCATTCCCCTTTTATACCCATTCTTTTAGCCCTAGGCAACAACTAATCTATTTTTTTGTCTCTACAGATTTGTCTTTCCTGGAGATTTCACATAAATACAACCATACAATATGTGATTTTTATGACTGGCTTTTTTCTGTATCCTCTCTAAACCTCTGATTTCAAGGTTCTTCTGTGTAGTATGTGTCAATACAATTATTTGCTTCCTTTTTATGGCTGAATGATATTCCATTGCATGAATAGACTGCATTTTGTTCATCCATTCATCAATTGATGGAATACTGGGTTATTTCCAGTTTTTGGCTGTTAATTAATAATGCTTCTGTGAACATTGGTGTGCAGATTTTTGGGGGAATATTTTCACTTCTCTTGGATACATACCGGTGAGTGGAATAGCTGGATCATTTGGTAACTCTGTGTTTAACTTTTTAAGAACTGCCAGACTATTTGCAAATCAGTTGTACATTTCGATGAGCAGTTATAGTTGGTTTTTATTTTGGTCCGGAAACCTCTCCAGGATTGCATATTTTATTTAGGTGTCATGCCCCTTTAGTAAGTAACCTTCTGTCCAGAATAATCCCTAATGGCCTTTATAATGGACTATTTGAAGAGTTCAGGCTAGTGTTTTGCAGAATATTCTTGGGTTTGTCTCATTGTCTCCTTATGTTTGAAAAATTCTTCATGTATGATATGATAGCCTATTTATATGATTTGACTGGTTCTTGCCATCAGTTTACCCCATTATTGATTAGAATTTAGACAAGGTGTTTGCCAGATTTCTTCCTAGTAAAGATAACTTTTCCCCTTTCTATTTAAGAAATAATCTGTGGGTAACATTTGAGAATGGGAATTCTTTGAATCATTTATTACCAAGATGTAGAAAAGTGATTTTCAGTCTCTCACTGCTTCTACATTATTGACATTTTCTGGAAGATGAACACTTGCCCTTTTTCAAAGTTTTAGTATAAATTTCTCAGTGTGATAACTATTTCTGCCTTTCATTCATTCACATGTTAAAATTCAGTTCAAATTTGTCTTCTGTGACTTACTAACTTGTCCTGAGTGTCTCTTTACTTCAACACACAGTTGCTTTTCGTGTTTACTGTGCGTTTTCTCCACCCTAGTGTCCTCGCTTTAACTCTCATGTATTTTGTATTCAAAGTTAGAAATGATTATCATGTATATAAAGGAAAATGCTTTACATCTATAACAAATATTTACATAGTATGTATAATATATGCATATATGTATATATCTGCAGTCCTACTGCTCATAGTTTGAAGATTGTTCCCTGCCTCGTTTTTCTGCATCATATCCCACTTTGTGACTACACCATAGTTTAACTAGTCTTTTTTTTTTTTTTAAAGATTTATTTATTTGTGCATACAGAACTGGGGTACAGGCCAGAGGCTCAGGGGCTTCACCAGAGACAGAGTGGGAAACAGAACAGGCAGATCGACGAAGTACACTGCTGAGGGGAGCAGCGGGCGGGTCAGGAGAGGTCTGCCACGCCATGTGGTCACCTCCAGGGCAGGCGGGAATCGAACTCATGCGGAAACGGCTTTAGATTCTCAGTGCTGTGCTTTAACCCGCTGCGCCACCAGGGAGGGCCCTAACTAGTCTTTTGATGGATATTTATTATTAGATTTTTTGCTTTCACAAACACTCCTTTAGTGTACAAATCATATTTACATGTCATTTTACATATTACTGGATGTAAGGATAGTTTCTGGAAGTGAAATTACAAAGCAAAGAGGATTGCATGTTTCCAACTTCCAATAGTGAGTCCTCACTGAAACAGAGGGTGCCGACACCTTCCTATTTAACTTTAATGAAGGTGCCTGTGCCTCCACCCCAAGCCAGGAGGATGCATTGTCATCAGACAGTTTCATCTTTGCTGAGCTAATAAATGGAGGAATAGTTTTGATTTAGTTACATCTTTTTGTAATTAGTGACATTGAATATCTTATTTAAAACTTTTTGAATTGAAAAATTTTTTTTTCATTTTTAAGGTAAGTTAGATTTCCTGGTTTTGGTGGATTATCTGTGCCATGAACTTTGGTCCACTTAGGTCCAGGTGTTTTTGCATAATGCTGTAAGTACATTTTTTTAGGTTGACTTCCTCAAGAAGTCTCTGAGTCAAACCTGAGTGCAAGTCAAATTCAGTAAAATCAGTTAATGCAGAAAGGGGAATTTTCCAGAAGCTGAATAGAGCTGGGTCTCATAAGGACCACCTTTAGCTACGTTTGCCTTGAGGTCTGACAGCCCTCCTGGGACATCATGCTTTCCCTGGCCTGATCTTACCCTGGAAGCTGCGCTCTGTTGTGGTCATGTGGCTGTAATTCAGGACGTGTTTCTGAAATAGGCCTCCTGGCTAGTGGGCCTGATGAGAGGAGTACATACTCCCGCTGCCCAGCATGAACTAGTGGGATTGGAATAGTTGCCAGCTCCAAATGTCATATTTTGATGGCAGTGGGCTGCAGTTGCTGCTCCAGGCTGTAAGAGATTTGGGTTACCTTTCAGCAGGAAGTTTAGAAGGAAGTAGGAACTCATTGCAGAAAGGCTTTGGTATAGTTAAAAAGTTTTCAAAGACACTGAATAGGCCCTGGGTGAAGTGCCCTGAAGTTGGCTCAGAAATAGGCATGCTTCCTGAAGGCACCTTGTTACGTAGGAAGGCCCTGGCGGTGCCCTTCACATGTGCCGGCTCTCCGAAGGGAGGCGTGGGAAGAGGGTAGTTGAGTGAGAATGGGGTGGAGGTGCCCAGCTCGGGGCACCTCAACAACTGAGCCTAAGTTGTTGAGCGGGTCAAGCCCATTACAAGAATTGGAAGAAGCTGCTTGTTTCTAGAGTCACCCTCTCTCTTGAGTTGTGGTGTTGCCTTGTCTCCAGAGCCTTGTCTGGAGAGGGAGGGAGGGGGATGTATGTAAGATATTCCAGAATGGATAATAACTCAGGCTCTAAGCTCCCCCTCCCCACAGCTCCCTACTTAGGCCACAAAACCTTCATGTTAGACAGCAGATTAATTGGAAAATTGAGTTGCAGCTAGATGAGTTGATGTCAACTTTAAAGTTCAGTGGTGTTTAATTAAAGCCATCCAGAGACTAAACCTGCTCCCAGGAAATTATTCTGACCGAATAATTAAGGAGAATAAAGGTTACATTTGTGTTTCTGGCTAAGTCTGTGTTGCCTTTGGCATCTCCAAAACATGAATTCTATTAACCTTTCATGAACCAACTTTAAATTGCTTTCAATTAGTTGTCATTCTAATTAATGTAGAGTCACACAGAAGAGCCTTTATGCTTGGTGTTTCTTCCCTTTTCGCCTCTGAAATTATGTCCTCTTGAACAACAGTCATTTGGAAATTGGTTTATAACTGTGTGTATCTGCCTGTCCTTCCCTAGTCTGATCCTGTCAATTGAGCTTCAGGAAAAACTGTCCAGCGGAAGTAGGCCACTGCTACAGTGGGAGGGCTGTGGTAAGTAGTCACTGCTGTGTTTGTTCGTGGGGTAAAGCTAAGGAAGAGTTAAGGTAGCCTGCGAGGGAGCTGAGCTGAGCTGAGGTGTGGTCTTGCCGTGTGGGTCTAGAGAAGAGGGCCTACCTTTTCTGCTCTTTTCCAAACCTTGACTTAGCTTACTTTGAGCCTTTGGCCTTGATGTGTGTGGTATTGATCCTGCCACATGCATCAGAGTCCTGGACTGGACCTGTGTGCAGACTTCAGTCTCCTGTGAAAGCCAGCACTGCCAGGCTCCTGTCAGCAGTCATAGCCAGTGTGGTCAGGGAGGGCTAAGATACAGCACTATGTCCCTCCTGCAGGGCTTAGTTGTTTGTCATCTAGCATACCTCTTGGATTTTTAAAAAAGATTTATTTATGCATACAGAAATGAGGTAAAGGCCAGAGGTGCAGGGGCAGCAAGAAGATTCACTGGAAACAGTAGGGAACAGAACAGGCAGACTGACAAAAGTACACTGCTGAGGGAGCAGCGGGTGAGACCAGAGAGGTCTGCTGCGCCATGCATATGACCTCTGGGGCTTGGACTGAAGTGGCTACAGCTTGGCTTAGCATCGCAGTGCAGCGTACCACCAGGGAGGGACCACTTGAATTTTCTTAATTGATGTGAATGTGATATATTACAAAGAATTCCTCAGTCAACCTAGGGTTCCCAAGGTAGACCATTCCAGGCCCCCAAACTCAGGAGGAGAGGAGGGACATCTGTTCTTCAGCTCCAGA